ATGAGTTTATTTCCATTTTTGAAACTTTATTACACAATACACGATAACAAGTTTACCATCATTTTTACAAAATCAACTAACAATGTTGTAAAGATGCAGGAAATGTCAAACAAACACTTTTATTTATCTTATTAATTAAATAAAGAGATTGTTAACATGCCTAAGAATTGAATCTGAGGAAATGTGAAAAAACAGCATAACTTATAAAATAATGGTCCGATTATGCTGATTTTCGAACTTGACCTGCGTTTTAGTAAGATTGATTACTCCTGTGAGTTTCATGACAACAGGCCTATCGGTTTTCCTTGAAATGTGTTAACAGTGTTGCATAAAAGCTAAAAAGTGAAAAAACAGCATAACTTCTACAATAATTGCCCAAACATGCTGATTTTCGAACTTGACCTGCGTTTTATAAATATTTATCAGCTCTGTAAATATAAAGCCAAAAAGTAAAACTGTCTTCCACTTATCGTGTTAACGATGAAAGTGCACGGCGACGGCGACGGCGACATCGACGGCGACAGTGACGGCGACAGGGACGGCGACGGCGACGACAGACGCAGGTGATGGCAATATGTACAGACACATCTGTGTCTGTACATAAAAACACTTATTGGACATTATTCAGTAACTGTATCCTTTAACTAGCACCAATTCACCTTCAAAAGCACTGCATCCACAGCTGATTGGTGAATCACTTACCCCAATCCTTGTTAACAACCTTAATTACAAAACTCATTAAGAAACAGGTGATTTTCCACAGCAAGCATGTTCCTAATTCAATAAAACTAACAAGAGTAATTACATGTCTATAATTAGTCAGGTGAGAAAGCTTAATCATCTGCACAGAACATAATTGGGCTGTAAACTTGAGATCAGGTAAGATGTCAGCCAATCCACACAGCAATGATTTGTTTGCTTGGGTGTATTAGTATGCTCGCAGACAATGGCTTCTAATTTCCCCTAACGCACCAGAAACCAAATAAATCGTATCTTGTTCATTTGATTTACATGTTCCGCACATTCCCACTAGACCTGGCTGCTCACATCAGCATAAAAAGAAGGGAAGTCATTTTGGCTGTCTCTATCTAAATGTTTTCTACTGAAAAAAATCTGCAGGCAGCTGTTAACATGTCGATATCCACCATGACATCACTCTGAAAACCATCACACAAAACACATTTTGATCAATCTAAAATACATAATGAAAAGTTTCTTGTTTTTGCCAAGCACCTCTATATAACATGGGTCTTTTTGCATCACCAACTCATACTTTCCACGGCAATGGTTTTCATATTTCATCAATTTCTATGAATATCATATGGCAGTGACTGAAAAAGTTCAACTTACCTCTAATAAAATAGAGTTCATGTGACATAAAATATCAAAAATATCAACATAACATCTCCCTACTGTATTTACAGGATATATATGCCATGAGCTCTCAGTAATGTGATATCTATATTTGATTTAAATTTTGGCATTATTCCAGTTTGACAGACAAAATCTACTAATTCGCCTGGGTTTCTCTAATTAACAGTTCATAAACATTCAAAAAGTTAAAGATATCCAGACAATCCTAACCTTGATCCTTATTATATCATCACTGTAGCCTTACATCTTTTTGGGGGCTATTCCAGAGCACCTGTCACACACATACACCTGTGGAGTGTACATTCCCTGTCACACACAGCTGAATGGCAGCTCACCAAATTATTGCCCTCAAAATTTGGGATTATTCACACAGCTGCAACAACCTTTAATTTAACTGAGCATCCCTAGCATCCCAATCATCTCTGTCATTTGGATCTGCATTCAATACAATCACTCATTCCAATAATTTAATAAGATATCATCAGTGCCCTCAGCAGAGTTTCAATCTGTTCATCAGTGCAGGAGTGTGAACTGTCCCCAACAAGTGTTAGGGCTTTCAGGACAGACTGAACTCAGCTGAGCAAACAAATGCACAATTTAAACAAAGTTTAAAAGTTAAGATTAAGATAAACTAGCAGAAAAGAGTGTTGATACAAAAGATTTTGAAGTTTTATAAAAACTAAATCTTGTCACCCAGTACTCACCTGCGTGCACAGTTTTGAACATGACAGGCGCTCCATTGTGGCTGACCTGCTTCACCCAGGCCTGGAGGTCTCTTTGCGTGTACCCTGCAACTTTCTGACCCTGAACTTCAAGGATAATCTCATCCTGGTGCAGCTTACCGCTGTGGTAGTTTATTTTATCGTGTTTCACTTCCCCTATGTAGCAAAACTGCCCGTTGTCGGCCCCTCCCTTTAACACTAAATTTAACAAGCCGTCGGGCCCGGCGGAGACGATACATTCGTTTACCGTTTGGCTCCAGTGCTTTGCTACATCTTTTGCCTTCTTAGCCTTAGTTGGAGGAGTTTTTGGGCTCTTAGGCTTCAGCATGACTGGGCTATGAGACGTTGTATGAACCATCGATATAACGAGTAAATATCACATGCTGCACCAAGACTGATCATAAACATTCCACATGGACGACGCTCGAGTTGTCGTGTTAAAATTCACCCTGTTGTAAAGAAAATGCTAAGAATACTGCACAAATCCATACTGGTCGGTTTATACAGACTCCATCGATGTCATGTTTGAGTCGATATTTCCTAGAAATTTGCAGGAATTCTTGATGGAATTCGCACTTTCCGCTAAAATTTAAATCGATGGAGTGTTGATGCCTTTAACTGCGCATGCGCTACTGTCTTGATGCCGAAAAGTAGCACGCACCTGTATTGTCGTTATAGTCGTAAAATAAACAAATGGGCCACTCTATAAACAGCAGCGTGGCAGGCTTTCTAAACATGACGCTTCAGACCTATTTTCTCAAGTCTTTAAAAAACTAAAAAGGCTTTGATGTAATATAATTGTAAAGGGTCACCAGATAAAATAATAATAAACAGATGCACGCTTTTAAATGTCAATAGATATGCTGTTTAATTTGACCTTTTTAAGACTTGAAAACCTAATACATTTATCATTCAACAAAACCCCAACGAGATGGTTCTTGTATTATTTATGTTACTTGGGAGTTTTAGTTTACAGATGTATAACTATTGTTCAAGATATTGTATTACATATGCTTTTTATATTGTCATGGATAAGATAAGATTTTTTTTTCGTCTTAAAACATACTTCCCCCTTTCTTCTTGTATTTGACTATTTACAGGTTTTAAAGCGTTTGTCACTTATTTGGTGTTGTGAAAGTAAAATGAATAGACAATGAATGCACATAACAGTTCAATCAGTTTCAGCCGAGAAAAATCGGTAAATAACTGAAGAGTGCTGGAAAACAGTCAGTTTAAGAATATGGTGCAATTGTTTTCGGGTTAAGGAATGAATTGACTGCCCTAGTAGAAAGTCTCAAGAAAGAGCTCTTAAGATAATTTATCCTGAAGGCGCAATGCATGCAAGAAATTGTTTATTAGGATATCAAATGAAACGGATCATAGATTGCGTTATCTTTTACAACCAAAACAAAATGTCAAATATTCATTAAGGGAACAGGAGACATTCAAAAGACCTACAATAAAACTAAACGAACAATGAGTGACTTTTTAACAAGTGCAATACACTAGTTTCAAAATTAACTGATAAGACTTTAATTTCTTTTTTTAACCTTGCATTTAAGTTATTTTGTTTTAAATTTGTTTACGTCTTTAAACATTCCTTTATTCTTACTCACTATTGGTTTTATTCAACTATAATGCAATGATTGTAATTATCCAACCCTCAGGTTGCAAGTTTGATAATAATAATAAAACAATTACTGAGGGCTTCAAATTAATTCAAAAATTATCAGAAAGAGCGAAGCAGAGAATGAAAAACCATTTATTAATCACAAGTTTATTACAGACATTATTGAATTATGCAATTTAACACCTGTTCATTATTTTTCTTCCTTTTATTCAATTATTGCCATATTTTCTGATACATGTACATGTACATCAACAAGTTTTATTCTTATGTAGCTTCAGTAATACAGTATAATATAATACAGATCTATTACAATCATAGTAAAAATAGAATCCTTCTGTATGAGATAGTAGTAATTTTCATTGATAACCGTATGCATTTTTACTTGACCATATATTTTAAAATAATTACATGACTGTCAATATAAATGATATTTTTGTCTCAAAATGATCAAAAAAGAAACATGGTTTATAAGACAACATTCCACACAATATATAAATATGTTAATCAAGATGTGGGCAATTAAAGCACCACTTAAAATTCTTCAATATAGACAAGAATCAACATGAAATAACTGTTTATCTCGGCCATAAGAAACCAATTAATATAATCTATAGTATTCACTTAGCTCTATAATATCTATGAATAACTGCTACTCAAATACCGGTACCTCATTTCAGTACACAAGTCTCCAAGCTCTGATTCAGTGACTTCACAGCTGAGGACCTCAGTGTAAAGAGACAATATGAGATGACATCTGTGCTGTCCATAAATATCAAACTTCTGGTACATCACTATGTAATGACCCAAAAGATATGCCAATTATAAGCTGTTGGTGGAAAAGTTACACCAGAACATGTGACATTTTAAATAATTAATAATAAATGTTAATTATCAAAGTTCATTTACCTCTTGTAATTCTATGTCCATTAAATTAAAGGGATAATAACTCCTCGTATGAGATCTATATTTCACAATAAAAACATTGTGAATAACTCATAGAAATATAATATATTCTGTTTTACCACAAAATTGGCAGTTATAGCTATTATTCTGATATCTGAGCTTGTCTATAGACCACGTGACATCCATTGATAACTTTACTCTGTTAAAATCTCTTAAGAGATTTTCACAAAAAACCAAACTTTTTAGAAAAAAACCAGGGACTAACTTTGAATGTAAAAATGGATTCATTAACTTTTGGTAAGTATGGGAAAATTGTTGTTTACTCCAGGAAAATTCATTTTTTGGCCGAAATGAAGAGTTATTATCCCTTTAACTATCAATGTGATACCTTGGATATAAATGTCTTGTTCTTAGAGCATAGGCACCTTTGTGACAGTAAACACATTAACTGTCAATAAATTCATCTTTCAAAATTTGATATTTTTCTAGCATATTTTTATATTTATATTATTCTTCATCAGCACAAACCAGGATATATCAACTTATTGCAACAATGCACTTAGGGATATGAGCACTTTGTCCTGTAATAATACGTCCAGTCCTCATGGTCACCTGACAATCTACATTGGCGGAGGCGGCGGTGGCGGTGGAGGAGGCGGAGGGGGTGGGGGTGGTGGTGCACCCCCTGAAGACTCCACTGGTGGCGGCGGTGGTGCTGCTGCATCTAAAATTAAACAAAATGCAGTTTTTGGTAAGTTAGGCCTTCATCATGATGGGTGTCATGAAAATTTCACAGACAAGTGGGACATTTGTTGTCTCTTATCTTCCCCATTAGCACAAAAGCAGACATAATTTGATGATGAATACACCAACACCACTTTCAGGCAGGTATCTGCCCATTTGGGTTTGCATTTCTAGTAAAGGACATTTGAGTCAGACATTATTACAATCATGTGGTCTATACCTGTACTCTTACAATGGCAAAGATCAAACTAAATTCCAAAGTGACCTGACAATAAATATAATTTCAAGTGATAAAAATGATTATAAAATATAAACATTTAAATCAAGAACAGCTGGTGTCCAGTCGTACTTGGTGAACTCCAGTGTCCTCAGATCACAGACTATGACCCCATTCCCAGAGATTAGATCGATCCAACTAGATTGACCTAACTCCCTGGGGGTTCACGCTAAATAGCTGTCAGCCGAGCGGGCACGAAAGTTAATTATCCCCTTACAGCTTGTTACTGTAGTAGGCGAGACGGACATTTAAGCCAGATTATCTGACAGTAATCTAGTGAGACTCCCCACAGGGATAGTTCGATCTAAAATCTTTGGGAATGCGCCCTAAGTCACCCTTCAATGCTGCTGTCTATATCAATGTACATGATGGCTATATAAGTCTATGGAGCAACTCTATGTTGTGTAAGGAAAGGAGGACATTAACATTTAAATTTCACATCTGCACTGAACCGTGCTATTTTTTAAAGTAGTGTTTGACATTTTTAGCATTTTTCCCATCAAAGTGCACAAAGAATGAAGGTTTATAAACAAGTTAATCACTTTATGGAAAAATATTCTGACTTTTATCACCATTCCCTGGACTGCTTTTTTTTTCACAAGTACATTCAAAAGTAAATTTCCTTACTAAAATTTTAATTTATATGGGATTCATAGGAAGCATTAAATAAAAAGTGCACATCCATAGTCTGTCCCCTGCCCTAAACATGCAAGCTTGTCTTGAGAAGACCCTGCAGTGACCTATGCTGACCTGTTGCATGTCGCCTCCATATCAAAATGTAAATGTATTTTTATATCCTCGGAGGAACGCAATAGATGATGTCTTGGAGATAAGCCGACGGCCATAACTTATCAGCTAAAGCAAAGACATGAAAGACAACTTCTCTTTCAAATTTTTTTGCCCACAGCAGTGTGCTTTTTAACCACATCAAACAAAGTGTTAAAACATTTCAAACAATTTCATTTGACACAACATCTAGGTACATTAGGTTCAGGAACAAGTGCAAGAGGTCAAATTAACATGAAAACTGGTGTTAACATTGCTTTAAAGAATGGCCCTTACAGGAAATAACATAAAACTCATAAAATGAGCACTGGTGAGAAATTAAACCATTTTTTCTTTCAAAATTTTTGTCAAAATGAAGATGCCTGAAAAATTTCGTCATATTTTAATATTTTAACTTAAAAGTAAAAATATATATCTGATTAAAACATTGTGATAATATCTTCAACCCAATGATATTAACATAGAAATTACCATGGTGAGTAATGAAAAAATGCAAAATATGCAATTCGACAAACTAAAAACAGACAAAGATTATGAAGCACTTTTACCCAAGCAGGGGAATATTTATAAACTAGTACATTTATAGTTTTCAGTCAGGGGAGTTAGAATGCAAATACATATACATTGTGTTGAGTTTAAGCATCACATCCATTGCAGTGACAGTACATCTACATGTAAAACACAACACATTAGTCATGCTGTTAGGGGGCTGTCATAGAGTCACAGGAAGAATGTGCCTGGCTGAGATGCCTGCACGCAGCTGACTTGCAGATTTAGACAATATATGCTGAGGTGTAGTTATTTAATGTCACAGTGGAAAAATGAATATTTAAAGACTGAATACTGACATTGCACAACTTTACATGAGATTTAACATTTTTTGTTTCATCTTTGGTTTGTGATATGTTTTTTACAAAATCGGGGATTTGTTTATAAATAGTATACATAGCAGTAAACATATTTTAGAAAAAGCCACTACATAAAAAAGCATTAAGTATGCATAGCACATGTGATGGTATACAGAGCAAACGTGAAAGTTACAAAACAGCAAATAAAACCAGGAAAAACGCTCAAAAACATACTTTAGAAAAAAAGCTACTACATAAAGAAAGCATCAATTAATATACCACAAATAAGCTAGCCATTACCACATTTATGGTAAGAGATGCCATGGTTACATAAACTACCATCTTCCATATATGGTAAATATCACCATATATGGTATCTATCACCTATAGCAGCACACTCAGATATAAACACAAGGTTTACCTCATTTCTGTCATGAACTGGTTCCTTTAATCAGTGAAAACATGACATTTTATCAAGACATGTTCAGTAATTAATTAAAGAATTAATCACAGAAATAACATCACTACAGCCCTGAATAATGTCTTAATAGCAACTCCTTTCTTGGAATGACCATAACTATTCTTGAATCAAAGGCCACCTATAGAATAAATCAAGATTTATCTCTCTTTTATTAATTCAAAAGATGTACACATACACAATTAAAATATACTGTTGGCTTTCATTTGCTTAACTAACAGTGCTTATTGCACTGTAAACTATAAATCAATAAAACCCACCTGAGGGCTGTTGCTGCTGTTGTTGTTGTTCCTGACCACTTCCCTCTCCTGAGGCTTGATCACCTGGTGAAAAATATCAAATAATAATAATAATAATAATAATAATAATAATAATAATAATAACAATAAACTGTCCTCATATTGTTCCCAAAGGAAAATGATTATAAAATAGTGATGTTGGAAAGTGTACAATACCAGCGTAATTTAAGACCCTGTCAAAGGCTGTAAGATAAAGAATATCTTGATTATATAATATGTATAAGTAGTGCATGGTCTGGTCTCATATATTTGTGTTGCTGACCTTGTTTCTCCTTATCTTTGCTTTCCTCTTTCTCCTCGGCAGCCGTCTTGTCAGCCCTGAAGAAGATCCTGGCACTGCTGAGGGAGTAATAGAGCAGGTCAAACTCCTGAAATGGCCAAACATATTTATTATATATTTATTTATTAAATAAATATATAATAAATAAATATATATTTATTTATTAAATAAAGAAGATTCTGGTACTTTTAATTAATTAATTTATCTATTTATTTATTTTCCCATTAGAGTGAAAATTAAAATACAAGAAACTATTATGTTCTAGAGGACTGAAAAAATAAAATGATAACGAAAAAGAAGAAAGTTCAGTTCAATTTCTTATAAGATCATTAATTTGTCATGTTTTATATGCAGAACAATAAAAGTAATGAGTGAACACTAACAGTTGCCCTCAGCAGTCAACCAAAAGAAGTGTATGACAGAGAGCATTAACTAATCAATTAGAAGATTTTATTGAGATATTTCATGTTCCACTGAACCTTTAAGAATTCCACATTAACTCCTAATTACAAAATCATCAGATGTCGCATGTATAAATTACAATAATTGGCCACTTAAAAGCTAGTACCATGAATACTACATCTGACCCCTGTCCAATGGAAGTACTAAACTTGTGACCAAGACCCCGTCACATGTCATCCAACATGTGTAGAATAGGTTGCACTGCGAAATTAGACTTAAATCAATTACAATATTTCATGTTTATTGTGTCCTAGGTCATCAACGGCAGTGGGATATGGCTGATATCACTGATCAGAACTAAGGGCCACAGCTGACATCTGGTTCCATATGGAATTGTGGGAGAGTGCATACTGGGAATATATCTGGTCTTTATTTTCAATTTTTCATTTCTATTGCTGTATATGAGTATGCCTCCTTGCAGTCTTTGGCTATCTGGCCCAGAGCTAATGAATATAAATGTCACGTCAGCAAACATGTACTGAGAAATCTATTTCCACAACAGAATCTTCCTTTTTCTGTACCTAGATAGATCCTTTATTTATCTTTTCACTTTCAGTCCTTTTTCCTCGGACAGGTGTCCTCATTCCTGCCATAAAACAGTGCAGCAGTTAAGGACACACCTTTGACTTAGGCTCTACTATGGACAACATATGGCACATCTTGACCTTCAACACATATGGACATTTAAATACTAAGTCTATTCTGACATTACACAGTTTAAACTGTACTACAAGGCAGAGGTCATTGGCCAGTATTTACTGAGATAAGAGAAAAAAATACTTCATGCCTTCTTGAATTTTTTTTTCTTCTCATTGCTCAGTCCAAAGTAAGTAACATTAAGGCAAACTATAAGATTTAGCCCGTCCTGCCTTTGAATTAACTGGCAACTCA